AGTAACAGTGAACCAAGAGACAATCTATGCCCTTGCAGACATGGGAGGAAAGAATCTCCTCGACATTGTAGCACGCAACGAGGCGATAACCGTAACATGGCTCAAGACATACTTGGCCTTCGGTCCGGACAGACCGCTCTGGTGCTTCGTGGCAGACGAAATCCTAGCAATTAAAGGATCGGGTGACCATAAAAATGTTGCAGAAGAAATGAGAATGAACGCGTACCTGCAATCCTGGTTCCCGAAAACATCCGCTCCCTCCATTGGGAAAGACTTGGCTGGCATCATAAAAGTCGGCCGGAAATACGGCCTTGAAATGGATGCGATGGCCGTGTCCAGAGAGGTACAAGGGGCAATGCCAGTATGGTACCACCGAAAAGGATACGCGGACAAAAGCGTGTACAATGAGGATGTCGAAGTGGTGGACTGCCTTAGAAACAACCACAAGATTCTCTTGGTTAGACACGCAGTAAGGCTCGGAGCAAAAATGGACGCACCTCGACATCGCCCAGTCAGGAATTGCCGCTGCGGGACATGTCAGCTAACGAAAGCACTGACAAGATGCAAGAACCCGCACCAATGCTACACGAAGGCCAGAGAACTCCTCGATGGCCTAGAGGCGAAATGGGACCCTCGTGAACCACAACCAGAAGACTACGAGGATGACCAGAAACCACAGAATGAGGGAGACGAAACAGCAGAATTTGACTCACGGATCACAACCCACGGCACCGTCGCAGACACGTTCCGCATCTTCACAAACGACAGCCCAGCCAATTTGCACGAGATAGCACCCGACACTCAGAGACAGACAGACCCAGAGGCCGAGAAGATAGTGGTATACACAGATGGCTCTGCCATTAACAACGGTAGGAATAACGCCCAAGCGGGGGCAGGAATCTTCTTCGGCGAAGACGACCCGAGGAACCGAGCGATAAGAGTCCCGAACAATGTCGGAAACTCCAATAACGTCGGGGAAATGGTGGCGATCAAACTTGCTGCCGAAAAATGCCCGGTAGATGTACCACTAGAAATAAGAAGTGACTCGCGGCTATGCATTGACGGACTCACCAAAAATCTACCAAGGTGGGAAAGCGAAGGACTCCTCACGATCGAAAACGGCCCCCTGATTCGCGCAACCGTCGGAGTGCTACGCAAAAGAAAAGCAAAGACAACCTTCACGTGGGTAGAAGGCCACACGGGGGACCCAGGAAATGAGGCGGCTGATAGACTGGCCAGCGAAGGAAGCGCAAAAACTGTCCCGGATCAAGTCAAAATTAAAACCATAATGAAGTTCAACCTGCCGGGGGCAAAATTGACGCGCATTACTCAGTCGCTTGCGTACAAGCTGATAAGAAAAGTCAGAATTAAAGGGGAGAAGTACCAAAAGAAGCTGGCCCGTGTAGCAACGACACGGAACATGGAATATGCGAAAGCTGCAGCTGCCGGCGAAGATGACGACGGGCTCCCATCCGACAGTAAAATCTGGAGCTCAACAAAACATAAGGATGTGTCGAGAAGCATACAATTCTTCTTGTGGATGATGATACACGATGGGTATAAAATCGGAAAACACTGGACAAACATCACCGGCCACGAGGAAAAAGAGGACTGCCACGAGTGCGGAATAACAGAATCAATGGAACACATCTTAACGAAATGTGAAGCGTCCGGCCAGAAGGAAATCTGGGCACTTGCCAGTGAGCTATGGAAAATGAAGACCGGGGAGGACCTACCAGTGCCCACAAAAGGACAAGTAATGGCGTGCGCGGCAATGAAGAGAGGAAACACCGGCACCACACGTCTATACAGAATATTAGTATCTGAATCAGCTCACCTTATATGGAAGCTCAGAAATGAGAGAGTAATCCAGGGAAAGGAGCCCGCATCGGAACGGGAAATCCATAACCGCTGGCTGAAAACGATCAACAACAGACTTGCGATGGACAGCACGCTAACAAATAGCCAGAAATGGGGCAAGAAAGCCATTAATAAATCATTAGTACTGGAGACATGGAGCAAGACGCTCAAAAATGAGGTAAATCTCCCTAAAGACTGGACATGGGAGACCGGGGTTTTAGTGGGTGTCGGTTGATGATTTGGCGAGGAAGGGGACTCGGCGGCAACGTCGGGAAACTGGAGCTAATGAAATCGAAACCCCACACGCCGTGTCGCGAAAAGGACACGAGTGCGGTTGCGCATTTCCTCAGGGGTTTGATATTCCTCTGGCCGGGTTACTAGTCCAAGGCCTCTAAATAACGGGTTGAGAACGGACAACTAGGTTGTCCCTGCGAAGCGTTGAACATTACCATCTGGTGGGTTCGTCCCCGGATGACGATGCACAACGTGGAGGGGAGTGAACGCGGACCACGCGAAAGTTCACTACCGTTCATGCAACTATCCAAACGTTCCACAAAAAAAAAAAAAAAAAAGAGATGGAGAAAGGTGTGTCATCCAGATGTCATCGGCGCATTCGGCAATCATATTGCCTTGTTGGGCGTTTTGGTTCAATGTTCTCCACCGGCGCTGCGAATTCTCAGGGTTATTCGGGAGGGTTCGGTTTGACTTTTGTGTGTTGGTGTGGTACTCCACGGCATCGAATTGATCTTACAAGAGAAGCAGAAAACTCGGAGGACCCGAGGATTAATTTTAGCCCCAACCAAGCCCCAACTGTGGCGGCTGTTGCGCTGCAAGTCGCAACAGCGCGGACAGCAAACCGGAAACCCGTGTAACTCTGTGCTGCGCAATCACCTTGGCTATTCCGGGTAACCCAGCGCTGTTTCATGACATCAGTCAGCACGAACGCCGGCTGAGGGGACAAGATTTGAACCAACTCCGCACTACCTAGTGTTCAATGGCTCGAAATTCCTCGGATGTCGTCGAGCACCAAAAGAATGTATAGAAAGCAGCATGGTGTATGGTAGCACGCGGGATAATCTTGTGGCCTTGGCATACACTTGATTCCCGAAGTCCTTGTTCGACTCAAGGTGCTGTTGTTCCTCTTTGAGCGTTTAACTTTTTCTTGGTTGGATTTCTTGAAACCTAGCGCAGATGGAGGCTAAGAAGCATGCAAGAAGAGCAGTATGGTGGAATGCTACACACCGGGTTGTGCCGAACCTGGAGGTCCTTGTTCACTCAACTTGAGGGTACTGCTTTGGGGAACACCCCTTGAATATTTTTGAACCTTTATTTAGGGCGTTCACAGTAGAACTTTTTCGGCCCTTTTTCTTTTTGGATTTTGCTCAGTTCTCTATGCAGGGACTTAGTTCTTTCGCTTGGTGACCCTTTTTAGATCTCTAAGTTGAAAAGAGAAAAAAGACTGGGAGAAAACCCGAAGGAATGCAAAAGAGGGAGAAAAAAGGGAGTGAAAAAGGGAGGAAAAAAGTCTACTGTGAACAACCCTATTATTGCTCGAAATCGATATCATCGCACTCACACAGGTTGAAAACGCTATAGTCAATACAGTACAGTGTAATGTTGCACACCGGATCCTTATATGATATGTGAGGTACACATTCAATCCGGAGGTCCTTGTTCGAATCAAGGTGCTGCTCTTTGAGTTTGTTAATCTCCACTTTTTCCTTTGTTCGCTCCTCAGATTTGGCAGCCTCAACCAAGTAGCCATATAGAACAAAGAAGCAGCATGGTCCAATTCCGCACGTCGGGGTTCTTTGGGCCTGCTTCAAAGTTCAGAAAGATTAATCCGGAGGTCCTTGTTCGAATCAAGGTACTGCTCTACGGAGTTGGATGATCTCGTTCTTTGGAACTACAGGCTCACAAGTTACAGTGTCACCCAGGTTGAGAAGGAGGTCAGAGAAAGCAGTATGGTGTATGGAAACACGCGGGATTATAGAGTTCAAAACCTTATCAAGTCCCAAAGTCCTGGTTTGAATCAAGGTACTGCTCTGATACAATCGGTGTCGTCGCATTTTTGTCGTCGAGTTCTGTACTTTCTCCGTCGCCTCTATTATGCCCTCAGTGAATCGACAATCAACTAAAACGGGAGCCGGTAATATATGTAGTGCAATCGATTCTGACGCGCAGGATTCTCCTGTATTCTTAGACTGGTTCTGCATTCCTCGAAATCTTGGCACTCATCTAGGTTGAACACAGTGTGGTAAAGGCAGTATAGTGTATCGAAGCACGCGGGATCATCTTCAAAGCTTCGCCCTGTCATACCAATTCCCGAAGTCCTTGTTCGAGCCACGGTGCTGCTCTGGTCCATGCCATGCTTCATATTTTTTTTTGTCTTCGAGTTCCATGCAAGTTCTATGCCTTCTCCAACCCCTCTATGCTCCCATTCGATTTACTATCTGGGTCATAACTAAAACCGAAGGCAGTATGTGGTGCATACAGGAGACTCCCCGTTCGTGGGCTTTGCATTCCTCAAAATTATTGCACTCACCCAGGCTGTGAGACAGTCTGGTAAAGGCAGTATAGTGCAAGGATGCACGCGGGACCATCTTGATGTTTTTCAACATGACTTATAAGTAATTCCCGAAGTCCTTGTTCGACTCAAGGTACTGCCTTCAGTCGTGCACGCTTTTCTTTTTGAAGTTGTCACAGTTTTACCACAAAAAATCCCTTGTTTGAATCAAGGTACTGCACTTTTCTACTTCATTCGCATTTTTTTGTTTTTGATTTTTGGAAATCTGCAGCACTTAGACAGGTTCACAACCAGGCAAAGAAAGCAGCATGGTGCAATCCCACACACTGGGTTTCTTTAGCATTGTGTCAGTGAGGATCAGAACATCAAACCCGGAGGACCTTGTCCGACTCAAGGTGCTGCGCTTCCCAATCGTTGCTTTTTTTTTGTGTGATCCAGTTCTACCCTTCTACCTCAGCTCTATTATCCCCTCAGTCAATTTACGCTCAGGAGCATAAATAAACCGAAGGCAGTATGTGGTGCACACGGGAGACTTCGGTTTATGGGCTTTGCATTCCTCAAAATCATTGCACTCACCCAGGTTGAAAACAGTATGGCAAAGGCAGTATGGTGTATCGATGCACACGGGAAGTTCTTATCCGCTTGTACTCCGATTAATTCCCGAGGTCCTTGTTTGAATCAAGGTACTGGCTCTTCTTCTTCCTCCCATTGTTTTTCTCTTTCCATTTGCTTATTCAGCACTTGTGCAGGTTTAGAGGGGGGGCAGGGAAACAGTATGGTTTAAGGATGCACACGGTGTTCTTATTGTGTCTGTAAGGTACACCTTCATTCCGGAGGTTCTTGTTGAAGTTCGAATCAAGGTATTGCTCTTCTTTTGTCCCATCGTTTTTTTTCCTACACCGCAAAATTGTAGGCTTCTACACAGCGAATTTGTAGCACTCACCCGGGTCAATGTATGGACTACAAGAAGCAGTATAGTGTAATACTGCACACCAGGCCCTTTTAGTTCATTTCTGATGTTACCCGTAACCCCGGAGGTCCTTGTTCGAATCAAGGTACTGCTCTTCTTGAGCTTTTCGGTTTCTTTTTCTTGGTTGGATTTTTGGAAATTTTAGTATGGATTGAGGCTGGGAAAGAGGTTAGAGGAAGGCATATGGTGCACGGATGCCCAGGGTTTTCTTGTGTTCTCCACTACACAAACGAACCCGGAGGTCCTTGTTCAAATTAAGGTGCTGCTCTGGGTATGGTGATTTTTTTGGCCCACGTTCCTGCAGTTTGCACCACTTACCCAGGTTGAAAACAGTACCATGAAGGCAGTATGGTGGAATGCCACACACCAGGCCCTTTTAGTTCTTTTCTGATGTTACCTGTAACTCCGGAGGTCCTTGTTTGAATCAAGGCGGGGGAGGGGGGGGGGGGTATATTATACTCGCGTGGTCCACAGGCTGAACAACGAGTTTACGGAAGACAAACATGTAGTACTGTATGGGTGGTTATCCTTACAGAATTCTACAAGATGCCGACCAAGCACAACATCGTTCCAGGGGGTCGTTCACACGCTACCTTTTGTGAGCTGGCTGGCCTCGAACAGGCAGGACCACCGGGTGCAACCTCGTGGGACCTTGCCACTCAGCCAAGCAGCTGGTGTATGAGAGGAGTCCCCTCCTCCCTGGCAAAACTCCCCGGTGTCCACCAAACTCACAGAAAAAGTCGACACATGTCTTTCCCTTTGCGGATGCATGCGTACCATCCGTCTCCGAAAAGACGAAACCAAGGACTTTTGGGAAGTGTCGCTCGACACACAAGCAGCCGAAGCCACATAAGGAATAAACGCGACGGGGGTCCCTGTCAGCACGCGGGGACAGTGAAGGTGCCGGGTGACGAAGAGGTCCAGACTGGTGCGCAACGATCCAGTTTCCGCGTAGTGAGAGATCCACGAATGCCAAATGGACGCCAAGCCTATCCCGGAAGTGATATATCGTCTGTGAGCCTCGCTAAGAAGAGTAAAAAATGGGCCAATATCCGGCCCTCGCTAGGTGTCGCCAACGGAAGCGTTGCAGAGAGTTGCACTTGCAGAGAGAGAGCGAGGGAGGCCAAATTGAGTCGGAGATAAGCACAAATGAGGATCAGGGAGTTCTGGCCGAAAGTCCGATGGTCCGTGCGCACCAAAGTGCCAGCATCCGGGCGTCGTCATGGAAGAAGGCCCCCTAGAATCCCCCTGCGCGTCGTACGCGTACCCCGGACAGTACAGATGGCCAAACGTGGCCAGCAGAATGAGTCCAGGTGCGAACCGCCACATGGTCCACGTCCGCAAGTCCCGATTGTAATCCTTCGTGATGAGTGGAAAGAAACAGCCAGGTCCTGGAGCGGCCACGGTGTCCAAATATGCGTCTTGCACGGTGCCCCGGACAGCACAAATCCAATTGGAGACACAGGATGCATCCGACATCCACACCCCAGACGGTGCTTGTGTTTTGCTGAGCCAGAACGACGCCAGTTTGCCAACAACCAAAATTGACATGATGGTGGAAGAGAGAATCAAGGTACTGCTCTACGGAGTTGGATGATCTTGTTTTTTGGAACCATAGGCTCACAGGTGAAGGTGTTAACCAGGTCGAGAAGGAGGTCAGAAACACAGTATGGTGTATCGTTGCATGCCGGGGTCTCTCAGCAGTTTCTCCAAGATGAACCCGGAGGTCCTTGTTCGACTCAAGGTACTGCTCCTTCGCATCTCTTGCACATCTTTTCTTCAGCTCCTCATAATCTGTGACTCACATGGGTTGATGTAGGAGAGCAGGGAAAGCAGTATGGTGTAATGCCACACACCGGGCTCTCTTAGATCCTTCAAATTCTAACCCGGAGGTCCTTGTTCGACTCAAGGTACTGCTCTTAGCTATTTCCATCCACCGTTTTTTTTTACTTCATCTCGGTGCGGCTCTTCCCAAGTTTCGGACAATCCAAGTGCACCAGGTTGAGAACAGTATTGAAGAAGGCAGTGTGGTGTATGTTTGCACACCGAGTTTAGCTGGCCGTTTGACACAGGTGTGCAATTTCAACCCGGAGGTCCTTGTTTGACTCAAGATACTGCTCTGGTCAAGCAAACCACCAGCTATTTTTCTTTCTTGTTTTTGCTGTGCTCGGGCTGTAAAATTTCTCCCGATCACAGACATCCAGACAAGAATTATAGCTACTGGCCAGGAAACCAGCATGGTGTAACGCTGCATATCCGGTGTCTCTGGTCCCTTGCGCATGCTGTGGAACATATAACATATTAAACCCGGATGGTATTGCTCTCCTTTGTAGCCTGTGGTCTTGTACCCAGTTCTCAGAATTTGTGCCACTCACCCAAGTTGAAATACTGCAAAGAGAAGCAGTATGGTGTACAGCTGCATACCGGGTTTAGTTTGCGTCACACTCCGAAACCATTTAACCCGGAAGACCTCGTTCGACTCAAGGTGCTGCTGTCTCGTGAAAGGTCCACTGTTTTTTTTTTTTTTGTTAAACTCGGCAAATTTTGCGGCACTCACTCAAGTTGAAAAGTAAGGAGGAAAAGCAGTATGGCGTATTGATGCACACGGGGCATCAATACATGACAGAGGCACCAAGAGTAACCCCGAGGACCTTGTTCGAATCAAGGTACTGCTCTTGTTCAACTCTCTCCCACCTTTTTCTCTTCTCTTCCAAATTTTGGTAATACACTTGATCACTCAGATGATTGAGTTCAGGAAGCAGTATGGTGTATGCATGCATATGGGGTTTTAATAAATGGTACCGAGATTAACCCCGAAGACCTCGTTCGACTCGAAGTACTGCTCTATGTTTCTTCCTACTCCGTTTTTTTCCTTCTCTTTCAAATTTGGGTGGCAGTGGGTGCCCGTGATCGCTCAAATAGCGTAGAAAGCTAGCTACGGCAACGTGCTCGCCACAATTGTTGCATATCGTAGGCAGGCTGGTAACGAGCCTAGTAGAAAGCAGTATGGTGTATGGTTGCACACGGGGCTTCTCTGCTTTTTCGCTTTAAGCATTTGATGGGTAACCCCGAGAACCTTGTTCGAATCAAGGTGCTGCTCTTGTTCGCTATTGGTTCTGCCTTTTTCCCCTTCGCTTCCAAAATTTGAGTGCATTTCACCGCTGGAATAATTGAGTATGAGAAGCAGTATGGTGTATGAAGGCACACAGGGCTTATATATCTGTTGGATCTCTGAAGAATTCAACCCCGAGGACCTCGTTCGAATCAAGGTGCTGCTCTTTGAGATCGACACTTTTTTCACCTCCCCTACTCAGTGGAGCCTCTGGTAACGTCCACCGCCTGCATCAACCGGGGTGGTGTTGTGGTTTTGTATTGTACAATGCATTGTAATCCGAGACCAACCGAATGTTGCTCCTGCAAAGGCCATTCTCTGAAGTGCTGTGAACTTCAAGGTAGCTGGGGTGAGTGGCCGGGGTGAAATGTCAGTCAGAGAGGCAGTATGGTGTATCGATGCACGCGGGGCTTCAATAGATAGTGATCGCATCGTGTTGACCCCGAAGACCTTGTTCGATCCAAGGTACTGCTCTGTTTCTTCTTCTGCCACACTTTTTCCTCGCGCGTCTCCTGTTGAATTCAGGCGCACCTCACCACCTAACCAAGGAGGTCTTGCAGGCAATATGGTGTATCGATGCACGCGGGAATTCAATAGATAGTGATCGCATCGCGTTGACCCCGAAGACCTTGTTCGATCCAAGGTACCGCTCTGTTTTTTCTGCGGACATTATTTTCTTTGCGCTGTGGTAAATTCAGGTGCACCTCACAACCTAACCAAGGGGGCACAGGAAGCACTATGGTGTACCGCTGCATACGGGGCTTCTCTAAGAACTCTTTCAGGCGTGTAACCCCGAGGCCCTTGTTCGAATCAAGGTACTGCTCTCCTTATGCACCCATTTTTTTTCTTGGATTCCGTGAGTCAACAGCAGCACCTTAGTGTCCCATGAGCCAGGTATCAGAAGCAGTATGGTGTATGGCTGCACCCGGGACTTTGTTAATTGGAAAGCTTTGATGTGTAACTTGACCCCCGAAGACCTTGTTCGAGTCAAGGTACTGCTCTGGAAAATGTGCATGCGGCATCGCCTTTTTTTTTTCTCCGCTCCCTGAAGTCTCTCGAATTTCGCAGTATCCAGGTGCACAAATAATCAAGAATGGGAGGCAGTATGGTGTATGCACGCACGCGGGGCTTCAACACGTGATGATCACACCGAGATTACCCCAGGGGACCTCGTTCGACTCGAGGTACTGCTCTGTGCCGTCTCTGGCGTATTTTTTTCCCTTGCCCATCTTCTGCTAAATTGAGGCGCACCTCACACCCACAATAAGGAGGTATAGAAAGCAGTATGGTGTACGGCTGCACACCGGGTTCAGTTGATCTGTTCCCACACTCCTTAACCCGGAGGACCTTGTTCGACTCGAGGTACTGCTCTAGGCTGCTCTACCGATAATCTCTTTTTTCTTTTTTTCTTTTTTTCTTTCTTTCCTTTTTCTCTTTTCTTCTTTCTTGGGACTTTGCCCAGTGCAGCGTCTAGTCATATGCGGGTGGGTGGGAGGCGGCTTTTTCGAGATGGATCGGTATTGAGGATTCCCGGGGAGTACGGCTCCGAGTAATTTAAGCTTTATTTGCTTTGCGTGCCGCCGAGCACGGACGGGTTGAGACCGGAGACGGTTATGCCGGAGCAGAGATAGATTTGCGCGAAGAGATGGAGGTAAATGATTAAGGTACCGTGGGAGGTAAAAATCAAGGGCAACGCAGTAAATTATAAATTCGCGGACGGGACGGCACGTCGGGGATAGGGCGGGACGGGCAGGGCCGCTAGTGGACAGCTCATCTGCCCAGCTAGACTGAAGTTTAGGCCCTTGCGTATCCGAGGGTGTCGTTTATCCGCGAGCAGTCGAGGAACGGAAGACGTCGATAAACCGACGTCAATGGATAGAATAGCTATCGCAACCCGGCTTCTCGCAATACACCGCACTTGACGAGCTCGATGGGCAGCATGACCACGGGCCTCGAATTAGGGATTTGCGTTAGGCACGGGAACAGGGCAAGAGCAGAGGTTAATCCGATAAGTAAGTATTGCTCCGGATGAGGGTCGGAGATGAGGCTTGAGGTGGTGAGATGGGATAGCTGTAGAGCTGCGGCTGCCGCCAAGACGGGCGCCGGGTGTCGAGCTGGTTTTTTTTTCATACTCAGAGCTCGTGTCGCCGTGTATTCAAACTCGGGGTACGTCAGTGGATGCGATGTGATTCATGGGAGCGCCACGGGCAGGGGAAGGGACAGGCACACGAGTGAGAAGGGACGGACACACGACCTGGTCTAACGCCTTGCTAATGAACTGCACGATGAAAGCAATGAAGGGGACAGCGGGGAAGTGAAACTGCCAACGGGGACGTCAGCATGCTTAACATGCCGCGACGATCAGCCGAGCACGAACCACGATGTGCGCTGATCCACCTACGAGAACGATATGACTGTAAGAGAAAAAGGTGACCCGGGGTTCAAGTTGAAGTTTCAACTCGGAGGTTTCCGCCATCAACCGGCAGTTGCCGATTATCGATCTCCCCACGCGCCACCGCTTGAACAAAGACCACCACGATGCCTGAATTACCCCAAGAACTCATCGACACCATCCTCGAGGAGGTCCCAACGTCGAGCCTAGGAGCATGCGCATTGACCGCGACAGCATTTGTGGCCACCAGTCAGCGCCGCTTGTTCCGCTGGATGTCGCTCACAAACATCCCTTCATATGAGCGCGCGGCGCGTCTCCTCACCTCATCCCCTCATCTGGGTCCGTACTTTATGTGGCTAGCCCTCGATATTCAACACATTCCCAATAACTATACGGTTCTCAAGTCCATCCTGACGGCGCTATCAGCGATCGAGCATCTGTCGATTGTAGGCGCCGCGTCGGGCCCCTTCACGCCTAATCAGATCGGGCAGAATCCCTGCTTGGTCGACTTCCTTTCACTACCGACGCTGCGTTGTTTTGCTCTGCAAAATCTCATCGATGTCCCAGCGTCGCTCGTAACGCGAGCATTGGCTTCTTTTGAACAAGTGTTACTGTTCAGGATATCCATCGCTGAGGACGAAGACGCGGGAGAATACACTTCTCTCGGAGACCTCTGGTACCTCGGTGTCATCGACGGCGGATACGAAACCATCCTTCCCTTCCTCCTTCACCCGAAGCGTAGGGAATTCATCAAGGACCTAGGGCGGCTCGCCGTTACAATCCCGCCTATCCCCGAGCCCCTCCAGCCCAGATTCAAGGAGCTCCTGGTGGCCTGTGCGAGCACGCTGGAACATTTAACACTGGAATTAGGTCCGTTCTCCCGTACGTCCTGAAATGCATCTGACATCCTCCAAGAGGAGCCCCCGACCTACCTTCCTCCCCTCCCGGAGATGATATTCCTCGAACTCTGGATCGACGTCGAGATCACCAAAACCGCAGACGTATTCCACTCCATCATCTCCGCCACCCTCGCCTCCACCCCGCACCTCGAAGTTCTCACCCTCGCCATCCTCGACCGCCCCGCAAACCCGCACCGCCCGCATCGCCAGCAGTGGACCGCGCGCGCACCGGCGGAGTGGGCTAATCTGGACGCCATGCTGATGGACAGAGAAGACCTGTGCGAGGTCGAGTTCTCCCTGCGCCATTTCCCGAATGAGCCCGAGCGATATGCGGCCTTCGTTCCGTTCATCCAGGCACATCTTCCGCGTTTGTTTGAGGCGGAGCTGCTCACGTTCAATTATCGTGACTTGATGAGGCACCCGATGGATGAGTTTGCTGTAGATTATTGAAGGTGATGTTCTGGCCTGTAATATATTACGATTTTGCCGAAGTGCGAGTGTGCTATCTTGATTTTGTTACTTACCCATATCGTTGTAGTTCAAATTAACCCTGGTTACTTGGCTGGCTCGTTCCCCGCTCCGATAATCTGTCAACAGATTTGGTTGCTGAAATTCTTTCCTGGTAAACCTCCAGCGAGAAAGACCATGCACACCTTGGAATCCAGCACAAACTCGAACTCGGACTAAGCTCCAAACTTGCCCGACTTCCAGGCTCATTGAAAATGTAAACGACTGCGTGGTTGAACTCCGAGAGTCCGAGTCCAGCCGGGTCATATTCGTGGTGGGATGCGCAAGCTTGCCAGTTTCTTGCCCGATGTCGATCTCCTTCCCTGGCATATAACCAAAGTCGTAGACCGCAGTCTACTACTTAGTCTACTCACAGGAACATGTGATCGACTTCTACTTCTGATTTTGTTCTGATGCAACTCACACAGCCTTCAACAGCTTTCTATTTAAACCAACAGATGCGCATTTCATCTCTCCCACTGCCCATTGACTCAGACAACCCATGCCCGTTTCCTTCACCGTCGCCTCCCATCCCGCAAAACCATTCGCGGGGATGGCCACCGCCCGTGGGCTTACCCCTACGCAGCTTCTGGCTGAAGCCTGTCCGCCCCAGTACCAGAACTTCGGCGGCGAGGTACGGGGGACCTCCTTCACGAAAAAAGGCGAGGAAGATATGTGAGAGCTTTTGTCAATAATCCTGTCTAGCAAATGAATGGTATTTTTTCAGGAAAGCGCATCTTCTTCGGAAAGAGAGGATGCCCAGACTCCGGCGTCTCAGCAAACTGTTCAGTAGGAAGAAGGGTGATACGGCGTCTCACACCGTCGTAGCTATATCCAAAGCCACCCCTGCGAGTCCGACCCTTGGTGATGTGGATATTCCGACGGCGCAAGGGTTCGGGAGCACTGTGATTCTGAATGGCCGACCTGCTGTTGAGGTTGCAGACATCGCCCCTCCGCCGCCACCGCCTTCGCCGCCTCCTCCTGCTCAACCGACCGCCCCGACAAGTGCCGCGGATACAGATGTGGCTGAAGATTCAACCTTGATCAAGAACGTCTTCCCGCGGTCAAACGGCTTCGTCGACACGATCATCTCCGCCTACAACCAGCACCAAGCTCTTGTGCTGCGCCCCGACGACGTCTGGATTGCCATCCTCACGCAATTCAACTTCTACGTCAACGCAAATGCCGAGCTCCTCCGCGCCAACTTCGTCGCCCACGATGGCAAGAAGGAGCTCACAGTCACGACCGCCGCTTTCGACGACTTCGGGCGCCTCGCGCGCGAGATGGTGGGCCTCATCGAGAAGAACATCGTTGATCCCTCGTTGCGCGCGTGGGCGGTACCCGATTTCTCAACCACGACAGTGAACGACACGACCGTCAGTTCAATTCTGCTTATGGCGACGCTCAAGGCATATTTCGAGTACGTGTACTGCGACGTATGCTGCGGAATCCCGCGCGTGACGCTCGAGGGAGAAAAACGCGACTGGGAGAAGATTCTCCGGCGGCTGGAGAAGTTGAAGGAGTACGGGATGGAGACGATCGCGTGGTATCATCTCCTCGTCCCCGTTATCTCGCGATTCGTGAGAGCTTTCGACGACCCGAATGGCAAGAGCAATGTCGATTTCTGGCAGAATGTCGCCCATTTCGAGCGGGGGGGAAGCGGGCCGAACTATTACTCGGGTTGGATCACTGCGTTTAGCGTGTTCAGTGACAGGGGGAAGTGGATGGGTCCTAGGTTGAACTCCGTCAGTGGTCTTGTTGATCTTATGATTGTTTTAACATTGCGACTCAGGGCGTCGGATCTGCCGTGGCCCCGGAATCATTGACGGCCCGCCAGTTCTGGTCAGCGTACGGTGGGTACGCCGATGGGCTCACCCTCGATGGGACGCGCTTCCACAAGATCGATTGTGACAACATTCCGCCCAGCTATGCGGAGGTGGACGTGCGCCTTGTCTCCCACAATACCGGGGAAAACACGCTGTGTTCGATGACGGCAGGTGCTGTCGGTATACGAGTCTCCTCCAGCGAGGACTCTAACCTGTCGCCATCTGGGAAAGACGATACCCTTCGCCCTGTTGTTGGATGGTGGCTCTTCAACAAGAAATAGAACTCATATGGGCTTGTATTTGTATCCTGGCCCTGGTTTTGCCTACAGAGGACGCACTTTTTTGTAGCGTCAGGATGGGCAGCAGACAAAGAATGCAGAATAAAGCAGGTCCATGTCGGAGATATCCGATCGGGAATCACCGAATCAGTTGAACTTGGCTGAGTATGGTTCGATTGGGTTGAGGTACAGGCAATTGCAAGAGTCCTGACAGGATGCTCGAGAGAGTCGTCCGGTTATGTTGAACTAATTATGGCAACTTTGGAGGTTGGCGTCGGGAAACTAGAAGTGTGAAACAGGAATGGGGTTCCGTTGTGCATGTCGAGCGAGTGCCGAGGAGCTTTGGGGGCCACAGTGAAGTCAAGCACCGAGAGTTCATGGATGGAAGCCGGCGTTATAGAACACCGTTCCCTTGTCACAGAGGATCTGAGTTAGTGCCGGCAAGGCAGGTAGGACAAACTGAGCAAGA